GGCGATTCCATCAGTGTTGACAGTTCATTGGTTCACGATACGTGAATAATGTGAAGTGAAAAGGAAACGAAAAACATTTACATGTTATATTAGATCATATTGACTGCCATCACTAGAAACCACTTCATAATAAGCTATAACCTCACTAGCTATCTGTTACAAGATTTACCAGATTTCAGTCAATCATCATTATTATCTAAAATAAAACAAAAAATGGTCTGGCAACCATAAGAAGTGCGATCCCCCCTGGCATATCTTTATGCATAGGCATTTTAACAATCTGTGGATTCTAAAAAATGTTTTCAGAGAGTTTTTTCAGCATTCAGCTGATTTCGGAACATCTGTTGTAACCGGCCACGCTCACTCGGCGATAAATCTAAGACACCTCGACGATCGCGCAAGTGGTATGAAAACACATGTGATTCACACGTGATATATACGACAGACGCTCGGACAGGCGTCTTTAGGGAGGTGCTTTTACCTCCCTTCGAGGTAGCTGAAAATATAGAAAAAAGTCTGTTTTGTTGCTCATAGTATCTACCATTGCTTTGATTTATGCTAGTAAATTGATAAAGTGTCATGATGCTTCTTGACTCGGTCTTGATTTGTGCTGATTATAGCGTAACGTGTATAAGACGCGCTTTAATTACTGAAAATGGTTAGCAAGAAGCAAAAAAAAGGTCTTACTAGAAAATCCTCCAGTATCTTGAATACCTCTTGCAAAATCAATAGTTTCTTTTATCATTCCAAGTTTTACGATCAAATAATGTATGGGGAAATGTATGATATATGAAACATGCCCATTAAGTGCGTAGAATTACCGGGGCTGGAAAGCGTATAAATAGACTAACGCCAAAAAATTGTGATACGCCCTGACAATGATCTGATACGTCAAAGAACGAAGTTTGAGCGATTTTTATTTTTTTAGGTTTTGCTGCCAGCTCCGTCGTCACTGGACCGCTTTCCGAAAACTAAAACGCTTTTTCGTTCTTGGCATAGTAATACGAGGGATGCCTTTTAAGTTTTAAATAACTTGTTTTTCGAAGTATTCTCCACGAAGATTAATACCGATGTGCATGCGCTCGAACCAATTTTCGAAGCACTTATTCTACTCGTTTGCTGGTAGATCCAAAACGGCATTTTTGAATGCGTCAACTGCTTCTTCTGGTGACTGAAACCTTTGACCACGCAGTCTGTTTTTAATTTTCGGGAAAGTAAAGAAATCGTTAGGACTTAGATCGGGACTATATGGAGGATGGTCCAATAATTCCACGTTTTCTTTCGTTAAATACTGCCTTGTTTTTTGGGCTGTGTGGGAGCTTGCATTGTCTTGGTGGATGATGATTCTTCTTTCGGGGTTGATTTTTCGAAGCTCGGTGATGACTTTTGGCAAACAAATGGTGGTATACCAATCCGCAGTAACAGTTCTTTGCTCATAAGAGGAATTGTTGCAATATGACCCGCTTTTGACACAAATGTCGCGACCATCTTTTTTGAAACACTTCGAGAACGGATGACTTTTGTTGGCTATTCTTTACCTTGAAACACCCAAACAGCCGACAGTCGTTTATTTTCTGGTTCATAACAGTAAATCCACGATTCATCACCACTAACAATGCTGTACACATTTTTTGAGTTTCCGGAATTGAAACGATCAAGCGTTTTTTGACACCAATTAACCCTGGCTGCTTTCTGCTCTTCAGTCAACAGGTGGGGTATCCAACGAGAAACTAATTTTCTTACTCCTAATTCTTCATGTAAAATTTTTTGAATTGAGGTCTTTGAGATCTTCGAGGACGCCTCAATCTCGCGATATGTCACATCCCTATCTTCAATGATGAGTTTGCGCACAGAATCGATGTTTTCCTGGGTGACTGCCGTTTTTGGTGCACCTAACCTGGGATCGTCGCTAAGACTCGCCCGTCCACGTTTGAATTCTCCATATCAACGGGAAAATGTCGACTGACGTGGCGTTTCGTTGCCGAAAACAGACAGTAACTCAGCAAGGCATTCTTGTTGCGATAATTGTCTCTGAAAGTTGTAATAAATTATGGCGCGAAAATGTTCTCGGTTGAGTTCCATTTTTCTAATGACTTGGTGACACTTAAAAATTCACTGTAGTGAGAACACTGCACGTATCGTTGTGAAACTTTGAATTTAAGTGTACTAAAGAGTGAGGTTAAGATTCAGTACTGACGTTCGATCCGCGCGGCCTACTATGTTTCTATATGCAAAACTTAAAAGACATCCCTCGTAGTAGTAATCTTGTGTGAGAATTTTATTCAATTCCGAGCGGTACAAACTTATAGACGGGCCAGGTTTAGGAGACAGACCGACAGACAGGCCAACGGAAATGAGTGACATGATTTGCCGTGATGTAGATGTCATTTAACATTCAAAAACATATCTCAGTAGCGCAGGAAGAACGATCAATTTTCTACTCAATTTGACCACATGACTCTTCACGACTCTTTGACCGCTAACATTTCCAAAAATGCTACGTGATAGCGTTCCCAGTAAATCGGATGCATGAATTCCAACCTGAAACTAATTTTACAAAATTTAGGGGGGGGGAGGTTGGCTAAATGCTAAAGCACCTAAAATATCGCTTTCGAGAGCAAATGCCATAGTGACAATTAAAGCGGGGTTTATACGTCTAGAAGTTTACGTCTCACGATTCATGTCTGGTAAGGTAATTATCACGCCAAGACATGATCGTATTCGTAATAAACACCCTAAATTAGTGTATCAATCAGCCCGTCTATAATTTGGTAATTACCGGTCGGATTTCGAGTTGAAGTTGAGTCCACTGGCGGCGGATCAAAGTCGTTTTTCGATATTTTAGAAACTACTGACTGATTTAAGAAAAAATAGGGATTAAAAATTGGAGGGAATTGGTTATGAGGGGAGGAGGTATATCTCAATTTTTTAACGCCGGTATATTCATATGCTGTGAACAACGGTAACTCTATGTACCTATCAAGGCATATTTCACATATTACAGGTCTCCCCGTACATTTGCCTTTAAGGCTTGCAATTAAAGGAAAATATTTTAAATCCACGCATCCCACGCAACGCATCTGACGTTGATACACCTGCTTCGAAACCTGATCCATGTCTAAATCGTGTCTTGATCGAAAGATGTGTGGCTGAGCAGTGGCAAGCTTAGTCATAGGAAGTTTCCAAAGGGTCGGTAGGATAAGGGAACCTGAGTTTTTATGCAGGAAGTGTAGAGTTTTTTTACGGTCATATTCAAATTCAACTACTGGGGCAGTGGCTAGACGTCTGACACTTGCTTTTGTAATCTAACACCATTGTGTTACTTTCTGTCACATCATGGCGACGGAGGCATACTAACTTAAGTTATAGCCATAGGAACTGACCATTATGATTTTTTGATATCTTTTGTAATCCCAAATGCTGTCCCTCTTTCACATCACTTGTTTATAGCACAATTCTTACGATTTATACATAAATACGAGTATTATGACTTGCGACAAATCTAAGTCTGGGTAATATATTAGCTATACAGATTGCACGTAAGAAGTGATTTATGTTATGTTTGTTGCTCAATAGTAATTTGAAAAGTGCGTAAAGCTTCACTGATTTTGTTCGGCGTTGGTGTTGCAGCGAAGCACTATGTTAGATGAACGCCTAAATTGGAAATAGACATTTATGAGATTTGTTTAGCGGTGCGCCTGTGGCCTGTCTAGAAACTGCATCGATCGATGCTCAAAGTCAATACCACATGGCCCGCATCCCTTCTCGCGTATGTGTCTATTTATGTTGCTGAATTCGTTTAAATCACAGACCTGCTGCACTCTACGTAAATATGTACAGCCCTGTATTCCTGTACTTGTTTAGTACAAACATACATTATCAAAATAATTACGATCTAACAGATATAGTTTTTTCCAAGGATTTCCAACATTTCTATATGCGATCAACACTGGTTCGAACACTGAGAAAACAACAACTATGCCGTAAATCTAAGTTCGACAACAAAAGTCTGAAAAATAACTGTAACATCTGTGTTGAATTTGAAAAACCCCAACCCCTACTGAGCGGGGCCGTGGCAGATGCTTGTTCCGGAAGTTGTTGTATCCAGCATACAACTTCTTCCCGTTCAAGTCATTGTACACGCGTTAAGGAATACCTCAGTACCGATTCTAAGCTGTTCTGTTGTGTGTATGCAGTGTATAACCCTATTTCACGAATATGCATAACGCTTTGGCGTCTATTGAGGTGAACAACTGATCAGCAAGTGACATTTTTGTGTCAGTCTGCAACGTTGGCAATAATGAATCGGGTACAAATCTAGTAAAACTTTTTTGTGGCGTTTTGTTTCTTGTATGCAAATATTTTTTTCTAAATAAAAGAGTTGTTAGCAAGTACAAAATGAATCTGTAGCGTATAAACAACCAAAACAAAATCCGGCTCTGACTACCTGACGTTGACGAATCCGTCAGAATTATGTGTCCTGTGCCGATATGGGGAATTTTGAGATATTTCTACGAGTATATATACTCGGCTTAGTTGGCTCCAGGTTGTCAACATTTTTATTTTATCACTATTATGGTTATGAAATGAAGTCCAATTAACTTTTTTGTCATTACTCATGAAATATAATATGATTAATATGTATTTAATGTTTTTCTACTACTAATTCCTAGGTAGAATACAATTTATATCAGTCAATATATATAATATTGATGTATAAAGAATATTGATGATTGAGAAAACACGTTTTTCCGTGTTTCAAAGTAGTACCCGGTAGTCTAGAAAAACACTGATATATCGTTCATAAACATCGATGTTGCACTTTCAAAAACATTGATGCACTTTCAAACACATTGATGTTTTATGAAAGGAGTTACATCCTTGCTTGGAAGAACGTCTGAAGAAGTTTCAAATCCGAGTTGTTCCAGCTCTAACCAACTATGCAAATACTTGTGCTGTAGCAGCTATGACAAACCCTGTATCACAATCAGAAAGAAAAGTAACACATCAGTATAATTTTTATTTTTAAGAAACTTTTATCAATCAATAACATTGTGACCTTCAGATTACATTATCTATTCGACTTGTTTCATAATAAATTAAGCATAAAATGAAATACGCGTATCTGTAAAATCTTAGATCAGCTAAACATTCTTTAGACTTACATAAACACATCCTCTTAAAAAATGTATATACAACGATAAAAATCATAAAATTTATTCAAAAAGTCTTCCTCCCAAATATGCTGGGCTTCCACTTTGAAACTTTTGATGGCTCCTGTTCTCTTTGTGCAGCTGCTTGCGCCTCTAATTCTTCGATTAACCGTTTCTGTTTTTCTCTAAAAGCTGCTATAGGGTCATCATATTTACTATAATATTTTAGAACTTCTCGCACGTCTTCTATGTCATTGTCAGCAATTGCTACAAAAATTAATACATGACAAATATAAATAAGAAATTAAATTTTTTTAAAAATATGAAAAGCAGCCCTACTACAGTAACTGAAAAGAATAAATTTTTAATTAAGCTATCAATGACTCAAATATCAAAATTCATCAAGCTGTTTGGTCTGTAGCCTGTGAAATAGAATTTTTTGGATACATAGATACATAAATCAAATTCAAGCGAATAACCAAATGAAAATGGTATTTACCATTTTGGATTCGTATTTACCGATCCGTTCAAGCGAGTGTGGTTATTAGTTTGGTTATAAGATCCGTGACGTCATGAATTAGCTGTTATATGTCATAGTTATCACCGCAAAATTGTGGTATTTACCCAACTCTGGAGTAGTTTTATATTTCTGGTTATTATTTGAAATGTGACAAGTTAGCATTTTGCCGGGTATGGGATATTTTTATTGTACTTCAGCTTCATTCTTCATTTTTGGGAAACTTGATACAGACTGACTTCAGTTTTAGTAGAGCCCCTTATTAGTTATAATCATTACTGTTGTTGGGGATACTTTAAATCTAGTTCCTGTGCTTAACAAAGTATTCTCTGTAGCCATATACTACAAGAATATTAAAATATGGCCATATAAATTCACTGGATGATGTCCACCTGTATACAGTTTTCCAAATATCTTTTTTCATCGCTTTTTTCTATCATTTCTGCTAAACCAATTAATGTTTTCTCTAACATGCGGAAAAGTTAAGAGAATTGAAAGTTATTATAGATACAAAGCCTTGGTTCCATCATTAAAAATTTTTTTATGGAAAAAAACATTTCTCCACTTAATATTATGGAAGGTTTCTTTTTTAAACACTGTTGTAGACGAAAATGCACCGATTATTAAGTGATAATCGAAATAATCAGAAAAACCGCGGTTAAAACCAATGCGATCAAGCGATTCTAGTAAGTGATGTCATCAATCGGTGTGTCATCTTGAACCATATTATAAACGCGGTACATAACATAGAAATTTTGGTTATTTGCTTGGATTTGATTATACATACCAACTTGTGAAATATATTACCCCACCCCTGAAGTAGTCAAGTGAAGAGTAACATGATTTAGAAAAAAAAACCTTTCCTTAAGGTGCAGCATTCATCTAGTATCATTTTAACTGACAAGAGATAATTTGGACACAATATGAAGAAAAAAATAGCCATGCCATGCCTTATAAAATTAGAATTGCACATTTAAAAAAAAACCTCAATTATGGAATGTGTCCACTCATTTCAAGAGTGCCAGTATTTAAAAATAAGATTTCACTAGAATAATTTTGCTCTTATTATACTTACTTTTCAGTAAAGCTGCTAAGTCTAATAAACTGGTGTCATCATCATTGCCAGTCCATTTCTTTACATTCAATAAGTTTTCTTGATTGAACTTGACATTTTTTGGATTCCAATCTATACAAATCACTTTTGATAGGTCCCTATTCAAGTTGTTCAATGCCTTAACATGATGACCCCCTGTGAAATATGTAGCATCCCGGACTAGTTTGTATGCAATAAGGTTTTTTGGATCTATTGCTTCTATTAAAGGAAAAACTGTCATTCCTTGCTCAGCTGTATATATGACTATTTCATAAGAGCCATGTAAGGTCTCCAAGAAGTAATCCAACACTGAAAATTTATATGATGTAAGATATTTTGTTGAATAGAAAGTGATAATAATTTTTGTTCAGCAAATAGGAATTTAGGTATCTTTCTAATAGTAAGAGGTATATTATGAAGTTCCACGACAATATGTATATACTGCAGGTTTGATTTTTTTTATTATGGTCTTCAAATTGTTATGGGACTTCATAATATACCTCAAATTGTATTTTAGGTTTTTGAGATGGCAGCAGTAAGATGCAGTTATGGGACTATGTAATTTTTCTTTACACTATAATAAAAAACATATCCTGTAGATTAAGTTATTTGAACTATCAGTTCTGAAAATTTGGATTTCCTGTTATTTTACTGAGAGCATAGTGCACAGCGGAGAGGTGGTAGAGAAAAAAAATTCATCAGAGATATAGTGAATTACACACATGGTAAAATCTATATCAAGTAGGGTCAACTGAGGCCTGCCAATTGTACAAATATTTTGCTGTCATCATTTGTCAGCTGTTCCTAGCCTCAAATTGACCAATATTTCTATCTAACATGTGTTACGATCGCAAATGCAGCGAATATAGAATGTTTATGTCTTTTGCTTGAGATCGGTTTTTCTTATGAAAATCCTAAATAAGAATTAAGCTACATACATGGTCGCTTCTTGAACCTCCACCCTGTGTTATAAGTCCAATCAGGATGAACTAAAACATCTGTTAGTTCTAAAACTAATGTGTACTTTGGTTGAATGTATGGGTATTCTAGCGGATCTGGCAACAATTTTTCCCTTGATGGCTCCTTTATAAGCTACAAAAAATCAAATTGTCAGAAAAACATATCTTTTTAAATATGGCTTAGCAATTCTAATATACCTTATACTACATATTTTTACATAACATAAAAAAATGATATAATGTCCTATAGTAGAGGCAGGTTTAAGACAAACATATCCAATATTTTCCCTATTGTTGGAGGAATCAAATACCTATAACTATATTGCAGAGACAAGAGCTTAATTTCAGTATAATTCTTATCAATATCATCAATTACTTTTAAATACACAGTTGTAGAAAAGTCCAGTCAACTAATACATATATTTTCGTACTTCTGCTGAATAAATGTGTCAACATACTTCTATATTTATTACTTACCTTTCTGTAATAATCTAATTCCCTGTATGTTCGCAATATGTACTGCAAAGCAATAGGTTTATCAGATAGGTCATCTTTTACAGGATTCCCTTCAGCATCCTTTTCTGGAGCCCCCAGTGTAAAAACCAAGTATGTTCCAAGGCAAGTGAAGGATACTCCTAGAAATCCTAAAACTCGCATTGTTTTCTGCGACTGTTCTTTACGTTTCTTTTCGTCATCTTCAGGCGTTTCTTGCTGTTCTTTTTCTGGGGCATCCTTATTAGATAATAAACTAGTCAAGGGGGATTTGACCTTACTCTCTGAAACAAGAAATCCCGGTTATTTCATAACAAGAGGCAAAAACCGATTCAAAGTTCATAACCTAGCATACCTTCACTGAAAGCCCTATTTAAGCAAAAGTAATGAGGTGCCTCTAGTAATGTCCTGACATGTGTTGTATTCAGTTTCAAGGGCCGTCTTTGCTTTGAAAATAAACTTAAAACTCTAACAGTCTTATTCAAAAACTTCATATTTTTCCCAAACACATGCTCACTATCACAAAAAATATTCAAAATATCATAGGACACTAATTGATTATACAATCTGTGATACTATACAAGAAACAAGAACGTGACAAGAACTCTCTAGACGTCTTTCAATTCCTTCAAAGAATATAGAGCGATGATGCTACTTGTGTCTTAGAGGTGGAATGATGTAAGTGTTACAAATGATTCATTCTGCATTTAGCTGAAGCATTTTTGACTGCATGGCCGATATAATGCATAATGCCTAATCTTCAAATGCAATCACCGCTCATTGAGCGAAATGATAAATATGAAAGTCATCATAATGGCACATAATGGTGATATAACGTTGGAAAACTGGGAGAAAGAGGACATCCGAATACCGTAAAGTGATAAGATGTCAAAGGCAAAAGTTTATTTGTTGCGGATTGAAGCAGTTATGTGAAGTGAGTGATGCCTCAAATTTCATTTCACACGGATTGCTGCAAGTATGATACAGCACTCTATATTTTTGGACAGATCTTGAGCACTTTCCATTGTTCCATGCTCCCATGGGTCCATGCACAAAACACATAAAACTGGAGAAGTGGGAGCAGCACGTAAGACAATGGCAACACCGTTTACGTTTGTCAGATGGTTGCGCTGCCTACTTGCCTGGAGATCTAGAGGAACTATCGAAAGAATCCTAAGAATGCATCGGGAATAAGGAATGCTAGGAATGTGCCTACTTCCGATATTGGAAATTTATTTCATGAACATAATATTCAAAAATATCCCCAATAAGGGTAATATCTCTTTCAGCAGTTTTGCTGAGAAAAAGGTTCAGAATAACAAAGTCCAACCCTAATTATGATTATTATGAAGCACCAAATTTATTTAGTTTAAAAAAATATCCATATGCCGTTGGCAATTCGTGTTGAGTATTGCAAAACACAAGTGTGTCTTACTTCATTGTACCGCTTCTTGATAATTCGGAATCAATACCGAAAACACTAATGTATTTCAAAATTCTTGGTGAATAAGCTAGTAACTTTTAATTAGTTTGCTCAGTTCTGTGCCTTTAATTTGTTGGCCTTTCATACTTTATATAACAGTGCCAACTACAAGGATTATAAAGAGGCTGAATCCAGACATGCAATTTTAAATAATCTACCAAATACATTATGCCGATATGTTAAGTTCACAGCATACCTGTAGCACTTTATATTATGACAGAGTCTCCTAACCTTCTGCATTTCTCACAATAGCCACAATACACAGCTATTGATAGTGTTGCTTTATATCTTATGCTCATTTTTAGGAAATATCTCCAAAAGCATCAGTATTGATAATCTAGATATTAACACGTTAAGCGCCAAGGAAAATTTTCGAAAAATGTCCATCTGGCCAAAGTCCAATTTTGTATCATTTGTTCTGCTTATGACTTACAGTCTGCAGAAATACGTTTGATTAATTTATTTATGATCTCGAGTGTGATTTTTTCCCTCTCCATTACATATACAGGGTGACTTTGAAGTTGAGTCATTAATTTTCAGATAATGATTGTAGAAGGAAGATAAACCAAAATATGTGTGTAAAAATAAAAAAAAATGTTACCTTGTTTAATAAAGTATCCTCCCGACAAGTATTTCAGTGCGGACCTGTATTTGATCGTGCGGTCTTGGAGCAGCATGCCCTCACCTGTGAGGTCTTAAGTCACCTGATTCACGAGCCCTTTGCACTACATTAACAAAGGCACGAGGGGTTGGTTGCACTCGATTGGGAAACCGATTCGCATAAATCCGTGATGCATCCGGGAGCATTTTGTAAAGACTGCCCCCCCGTAAATAAGAATCATGTCCACAAGTTCAGCATTTTCGTAAACATGTGCCATTTTTGATTTCGTTTGAGCCACGCAACACACTACTATTCACTCAGGATTTATCGACTGACGAAAAACATCGTGATAAGCGTTTCAAATTCTTTCGCTTTTTTGTTTCCGATGCGATGAACCGGTCAGGCGGATTATATCCGTTGTCGCCAAACACGAGCATATAATAGGCAGGGCGGTACTCAAACTTCCAAAGGGCTATAACTTTGTTACTTTAATTTTACCAGAAAAATGGTAAAGGAAAAAAACATTTCTTTTGATCAGATCTACTCACTGTTAAAATAAATGACTCAACTTCGAAGTCACCCTGTATATACACGTATTTTCACTAGAATCTTGTTTTTTTTTTGTCAATGTTGTTGTGTAGATTTAGTAGGAAATAAATGATATGTGAATTAATAAAAAATTGAATAACTCTAGTTAAAACAAAAATACACCAAAAAGTTGGCTGTAGGGTATAATCCATACCAGCCACAGCGGTCCATATCTAACGCTAAAATAAATTTAAATATGGAACTTTGGCTGGAGTCACAGCGAAAACAAATACAAAGCGGTCCGTACGGACCGCCGTGGCGTGATAGGCCCGACGTCAAGCAGTCCCATGGGACCGCCATGGCGTTTAACGTGTTAAGTAAGCCACACACTGTGAGACTTGCCTCGAGGTACGTCGCGAGGCGAGGTCTCATGATATCGGCAGACGTCAGTCCCCAGTCACTCGTCACCCCACACCTTGAGACAGTATCGCAGACGGTATCACACAGTTCGCTATTTTTTTGAGAGTGAATATAAAATGGCCTTTCATGAATATTCAAAAAAACAAAAAGTTGCACTTGGTGTTGCCATTGGTTTGGTACTATTCGAGGAAAAACAGGAAAAAAGAAAATGGTCAAAGAATTGGTTTCTTGAAAGGAAGAAGTTCTCTCACATGCCACTTTTAAAAGAATTGCAGCAAAAAGAACCCAAAGATTTTTTGAACTATTTGCGTATGAACGAAAAACAATTTAATTTTCTTTTAAATTTAATCCGGCCAGACATTGAAAAGAAAAATACTGTATTAAGAGAAGCGGTATCAGCTGAAGAGCGATTGGTCGTTACTCTTAGATATTTAGCTACTGGTCGAAATTATGAAGATCTGAAATTTTCCTGTGCTATTTCTCCACAGTTACTGGGTGAAATTATTCCAGAAACTTGCTGGGCAATATACAACGCTTTAAAGGAAAAATATTTGAAGGTACGTTTTTATAATATACTTTTTATTATTTTAAATGCAAAACATATTAAACATTAAACTTAGCTAATGCTGTCAAAAAATACTTATAATTCAGTAAACGAGTAGTAATACAGTTAACGTAATATTCCAGTGGCAGAACTAGTCTTGGAAGTTTTCATAATATGAATAAATATCTCCCTGTGCAGTTGGTTGTTGAGGTTGCTGCTCAGATTGCTGTACTGTATAAGCTATATTGGAAAAAGTATTACTCGGTTCCACATGGGTGCGGGCCTGTCGTACTTCAAAGTTTTCATTTAACTTATTCAGTTTGCCGTAGTACATTACATCATTTATAAGCTTTTCTGCAATTACTCTCTGATTAGATGTCATTTGCTTTAAATCAGAAGCAAATTTTTTTCCTGCTATGTCGCAGGGATTTTCAGGTTCCGCACATGTAGGGGGTTTAGACAAAGCCCTATGAGCTAGTTCCACAAGTTCATTTTTTTTCTCCTCCATTCCTTTTTTTCTTTTTAATATTTTAGTTCCTAGTGTTGGAGTTGATGTTGAAGCCGATGAACTTGGCCTAGTAGTACTTGGTAAAGATTCCGAGTGAGCAGGAGGAGAAAAAGCGTTATCATAACTGTCCTCATCTCGAACATTGTTTTGATTCTAAAACAAATAATTATTATTAATTCAAACAATTTAATACTACTTTTTTATTACAGTTTCCATCTTCCGAGGAAGAATGGCGCGGGGTTGCAAAGGAGTTCGAATGTTTGTGGCAATTTCCCAATTGCGTGGGTGCGATCGATGGAAAACACATACAAATAAAAAAACCTAGAAACAGTGGTTCATATTATTATAATTATAAAGGAAACTTTAGTGTTGTGCTAATGGCAATTGCAAATGCAAAATACGAATTTATAATGGTTCATTGTGGGACCAATGGTAGGGTATCAGATGGTGGAGTTTTGAGTGAAACCAAGTTTTATGAAAAGCTTATAAATAAAAAATTATGTATGCCCGATCCGACAGAACCCCATGCAACCAATGTGATGTTACCATATACATTTGTTGGAGATCAGGCTTTTCCATTAACTGAAAATTTAATGAAACCATATCCAGACAAAAATTTAACAAGAGAACAAAAAATGTTTAACTACCGACTCAGTAGAGCACGCAGAGTATCAGAAAATGCATTTGGTATTATGGCCTCACGATTTAGAATTTTTCACACAATAATTAGCATAAATGTAAGACATGTGGATGCTGTAGTATTAGCCAGTTGTGCATTACACAACTTTTTAACACGAAATGGCTCAAATCGATATATACCGCCATTGTATGCAGACTCTGAAGACGTACATTCCGGAGAAATAATACCTGGCCAGTGGAGAGAAATAGGAGAACTTATACCTCTGCAACGAATAGCGCGTGCTTCAAATGTGTCTGCGAGAGAAATTCGAGATAATTTTAAAAATTATTTCAATAACAGCGGAGCAACCGATTTTCAGGACAGGATGGTCGTTTAAAGAGTATTAAGTTTTTATACTGAAATGTCTTAAATAAAATAATAAACTACTTACTGTTATTTCACTCTCTTGACTTTCGTCTTCGCTAGTAATAGTTTCAATTCCTTTTCTAGGGATTTCAGTGTCCGAAATAAAACTTAACAGGTCAAAATACCAAAGGCTGGGTACATATACATCATCAGCTTGTGTACCCGTAGGCTTCGACTTCTGTACTTTTTTCAGCTCTCTTCTAAAAGCACAGCGCATGTTATGTATTTTTTTTGAGACATAATCTCTATTTGCCATTGGATATATTTCTTTGCATTTTTCCACCAGTCTATCTAACGCTGAGTTTTTCAAATTTCTATCCATATACGTTTTAGCTTTCACATCCCATAAACATGGGTTGCTCCTGTACATTTCAATAAATTCTTCCCAAAATTCTCTTTCCTTATTCATCTTCTTTATTACATATAATAATTATAACAATTTCGGAACAACGAAATCTCACGAGATTCATGCGACTTT